TTTCTGCTAATGAAAACATTGGAAATATAAGTGAGACATATTTTAGTACTGTACAAATTATGTTTATGGAATTATTTCTGTCTCATCAAACTGACTAACATCATAAATGGCTTAATAGCAATTCATAGCTTACTGATTTTTATATTTATTTTAAAAACAGTGATTGCTGTGATTTTTGAGTAATAAGGTAATGAGTAAGTTGATTTAAAGATTTATTTATTCATTTACCTTAGTCCTATTTTGTAGGTCACTTTCTCAATTCAAGAAATTCTAAATTCTTAATTTCTTAATTTTCAATTACAGTAACTCTAATTTCAAACGCTTTTGTCTTTTTTATACTGGCCTTTGTTAAACTCACAGTTTCCATACCACACAGTAGAATTGAGAATATATAGCATCATATAATGGCCATCTTCAAACTTAATTTTTTTGTTATGTATCGCATCCTTCATCTTTTGTTATGTATTACATTCTTTATCTTAAGGAGTCTGTTGCAGGCCATTTGTATTTTGTCTTTTGTTGCATGGCTATTCTGCTATTCAGTGAACTTCCAGTGTACAGTGGTGCCCCGTATAGCGCCATTCTGCTATTCAGTGAACTTCCAGTGTATTTGACAAACCATAGTGGGAAAATGCTATGAGAAGAAAGTCTACAAACCATGCTTAACAAAAATGATAGCTTAGATGAAACTTTAACCATAGTTATACCCAAAACTCAGGGAAGATAAAGTTAAAGGTTCCCCTTGACATTTAATCTAGTCATGTCTGACTCTAAGGGGTGGTGCTCATCCCCGTTTCCAAGCTGTAGAGTCAGCATTTGTCTGAAGACAGTTTCTGCAGTCAGAAACTGAGTTAAAACTCAGGTAAGCAGATGCAAGGGACGTGGTGGCACTGCGGGTTAAACCGCAGCAGCCTCTGTGCTGCAAGGTCAGAAGACCAGCAGTCGTAAGATCGAATCCACGCGATGGAGGGGAGCTCCCGTCGCTTGTCCCAGCTCCTGCCAACCTAGCAGTTCGAAAGCATGTAAATGCGAGGAGATAAATAGGTACCACCACGGTGGGAAGGTAACGGCATTTGAAAGAAACTCAATGTGGCGGTGGACGAAATTGGCAATTATAGGCCCATCACCAATGTTTCTTTCATGAGCAAAGTGGTTGAGAGGGTGGTGGCTGATCAGCTTCAGGCTTACTTGGATGAAACAGATGCCCTGGATCCGTTCCATTCGGGCTTCAGGCCGCGCCACAGTACAGAGACGGCATTGGTCGCCCTGTACGACGACCTGTTGAGGGAGGCCGACGGGGAAAAGTCTCTGTTGGTCCTCCTTGACATCTCGGCAGCCTGTGATACCATCGACCACGGTATCCTCCTGGGGAGGCTCTCCAAGTTGGGAATTGGTGGCTCGGCTCTTTCTTGGCTCCGTTCCTTCTTGGGGGACCGCCCCCAGAGAGTGCAGCTTGGGGAGAGTGTCTCGGCCCCACGGAGTCTCAGTTGTGGGGTTCCACAGGGGTCGATCATCTCCCCAATGCTGTTCAACATCTATATGAGGCCGCTGGGAGGGGTCATTCGGGGATGTGGAGCTTCGTGTCATCAATATGCCGATGACACCCAGCTCTACATCTCCTTTTCACCTACTGCAGGTGATGCTGTACCGTCCCTTCAGCGCTGCCTGGGGACCGTACTGGGATGGATGCAGGAGAATGGGCTGAGGCTGAACCCAGACAAGACGGAGGTTCTGAGGATGGGTGGCCCCGTGGTTGGTGGCTTGGGAGACTCTCTCACGTTTGGGGGGGTGACCCTAGCCGCGAAGAGTGGGGTCCGCAGCTTGGGCATACATGTGGACCCGACGCTCACCATGGAAACGCAGGTGGCGTCAGTAGTCCGTACCGCCTCTTTCCATCTCTGGCGGATTGCCTGGCTGCGGCCCTATCTCGACACGGGGGTGCTCACCACCTTGGTGCATGCACTCGTAATCTCAAGATTAGACCACTGTAACTTGCTCTATGTGGGGCTGCCTTTGAAGCTGATGCAGAAACTTCAGG